TGATGAGTCTTTTGCAGACGAAACGCGCGTCTGGCGCAAATACAAAATTTCAATCCTTGTATCTATGATGAATTTATCTACACGCGTGACAATTAACAATGTAATCGAATTACAGGTTATAACCAATGAGTTTAATAAAAGGTTTGTATCATAAGCAAAATAAAAAAAAAAAAAACAGAACTCACAGAAAAATTCAAAACGGAAAGTCCCTTATCAAATGGCGAAATCAAAATCTCAAACACATCAAACGAATGGAAAACAACTGTCATATTCCTGACTTGGTACAGGCATTTCCTTAAATGGTGGATTAAACCTGGTGTTATAGCTAGTTAAACCTCTCACTTGTATGACAGTCGCATAAAATTCCATTATATTGCCAACAATGTGTGAACAAAACAAACAGACATAATAGGAGTACAGCAGTCACAAGAGTCACTTCTATTATACAGTCTAGTTAATGGCAAATGTATAGAAAATATCTTTTTTTTTATGATAGATAAATATATATATATAACTTACTTTATTGGCAATTTTTCATGAAAAAGTGTTGTATCAATAATGTCAAGCTGATCTACTTTCTCACCATAGGAGTACACTTTTTGTTTATGTCTAAACAGAGATATATGTTTCTCTTATTCTTCGTCAATTTATCCCTTTCTGCACCCATTGTATAAAAAAAAATTTAATCAACGTGTGGTTCGTTTGATCTCAGTTCTTCATTGGTTAAAATCCGATTATGACGTCGAATTTACTTGCTTTCCTCTGAATTTCCTATTGTGACGGCATGAAAAAAGGCGACCATGCCTGATGACGTCACATAGAAAGAACACATCATTTTACAGATCATTCGAAAAGACGGAATAAGTTTGCCTGCATATTGTTTGAAAATCATTAGAGAAACAGATTCCACCACCAAATCTCGTGTAATACGATATTTATCCACTCTCGACAGTTAAATGTTAAATATTTAAAACGCTCGGCGAGCCTCGCGTTTTAAATTTGAAAATTTAACTGTCTCGAGTGGATAAATATCGTTTCACACTCGATGCAGTGGTAGAATCTATATGTATCTAAATATGTTAGTTCATCACTACTGGTCCAAACAGTTTATTTGCTACCTTTATTAGTTCATATCAAAGGAGGATTTAGGCTGCGGGGATAGATTTGGACTCTCTATATGGAACTATATATGTGGTTGAAACATAGACATTTTACAAGTCCCACCCCTAACACTGTCTTGGTGCCCCCTTTTTAAAAAAAATCCTGGATGTGCAGCTGTTTATGATTTTTATTGCAAGGTTTATTTCCTTTATACATTTTTGAATGTTACTTTGTTTCTTTTTTGGAAGAGTTTTTTTACAGTCGAAAATATTAATCTTATTTATTCAGGAGGGTTTCAGAAGAAGTCCCCTTTTATTTCCTTGAGATTTACATTGTAGTGAATAATGAAATTCATACTTTATTTTGTTAAAATGACTCAGTATTGAATGACCATTGAGTGGATAGATTTTTACCCGAAGCTATGAATGTAACGACCCCTGCAAATCCAATTATTGTTCAGATAATTTCTTGTAGTAAATTCAGTACTGGGCCCGTATGCATAAAGCTACTTAAGTTAAGATTTTCCTTAGAAAATACTTAAGTTAAGGAAACTCCGCCCTTTTTACCTAAGTGGTATACATAAAAAATCTTAAACTAAGTATTTCCTTAGTAAAATCTTAGTTGTTTTAAGTCACGCCCACAAGACTTAAGTGGTATGCATAAAACGACTTAAACTAAGAAAACGCCTCAGATTTCACTTAAGTCTAAGGTACCTATAGAGCTACCTTAAATTTTCAAACATAGTTAAAAATCAGTCGAAAGTATGCTTTTTTGGCAGAACATTTATAGATTAGATACAATCCAATTGCTTAATACTTATATCAGTAATAAAATATTAATACATCTTTTGTTTATTGCTAAATATTAACGATCATCGTAATTTTCTCAAAATCGCGTATAATCAACAAATCAGAGATAACAGAGGGTAGTTATATAATGTAACTTCATTCTATCCTTATTCCAATCTCGTTGTTGTGTATACCGAAAAGTAGTCAGTTTTTACACGCATGAAATTCATGCTATTATTTGTCTTTTGTTATCATGGTTATCCTGTACGTGCATGTTTACACAAATAATGTTAAAGGTTAAATTCTTAAAATACACAGCGTGGTATCAATTGTAATCGTTAGTAAAAACAGTAAGAAGGAAGGAAGCGATCATGCAAAACCCTGTTTTCTGTGTGTGAGGAGGGGGGCATCGGTTGAATTTTAGATTATTTAGTTTTATTTTAAAGATGTAGGGCATACTTCCCCTGAATTGGTTTCACTTACAGAGACAAAATCGCAAAGTTTGACACAGAGGCGGATTTAAGGGGAACAGGGACCTCCCTTTTGTGGGAACAATTTGGGTGTTTATTTAGGGAATCACTGGAGCGGTCCCCTTTTATGGCAGTCAGCGCCCCCCCCCCCCCCTTTTCCATATGAAAATTTCTAGATCCGCCACTGCTACCTAATGGAATTCGAAGTTTATATAACGTATTTATGATACCTAAACCGTATTAAATTATTTTTCATATTTCCTTATATATTCAGTTATATACTGCTGTTAACGACAATATTGCTTAGTACGCTAAGATGTTGATAATACTTTACCGTAAACATATGAATCTAATAATGTGTTTTAGTGAAGATTGTAAGACTTTTTATAAATGCCCTCGTTTTTAAAAGGATTCGTGGAAAATTAATCCTACCCCCCTTTTTTGTTGTAAAAGGGAAGTGATAAAAATGTTTATTTTAGATCGAAATAGATTTTTTATAAGAAGTTGAACGATTAAAGTAAAATTCTTATTGAAAAAAAAAAATGTTTTATAAAATTATTTGTAAGCACATGCTTACAATGCTACACTGGTGCTACGCCATTGAAACCTTAATCATGTTTTGTTAAAGTTTAAAATATATTGTTGTCTCCAGAAAATATAACATCCATTAAAGATGAATTAAATATTAAGTAGGGGGAAGTTTTGGATTACAAATATTTTTTTCTTCCAATGCTCATCCATCGAAACGCTAACCGTTTCTCGTCTGCGCCAATTTTTCATCTATTTCAACATTGTACTAGGTTACGTATTATTGAATTGTTTTAAATACCAAAATCAATTTAACCCCAACTCTTAATAAAAGTATGTATTGATCAACCAATGTAAATAATCATAACAAACTTTTACACGACTGAGTTCCTGCGATGAGCTGATATATATCATAGTATTACGGTAATTAGAGAAAGGTTCCGATTTAAGTATTCCTTAGTTAAGTGAAGACTTAAGTAAGTTTATGCATACGACTTAAGAATTCTACTAAACTAAGGAAATTCTTAGTAAAATCTTAGTTTAAGGAACTCTTAAGTTAAGATGTTTTATGCATACGGGCCCTGGTCACACATATTTGCTTGAACGCAATCCTGTACTGTTCATTACCCTTGTTTTAACAGTTCCTTAGTTGTTGTTTTGTAAAGGTAAAAGTATTCACCTTATAGTGTGTACATAGACTAAACAGATCTTAATTGACTACAATCAAATTGTCTGAACAGTACTGAATTTATCGCAATGGGTGTGAATGAAAATTAGCTGAAACAGAGACATGACTTAAACATTCATTGGTCAGTCTTTTAACAGTTTGTCTGATCAAAAGGATCATTTCCGTTCAAAAATTGATCTACCAATGTGCTCAACCAGTATCAGTAACGTTTGTTTAAACATGCATTAAATAAAAGTGATCCGGTCATACTGTGTCACCAATCCCAGTCGTTTTGTAAACAAAGATATAAAAACTATTTAAACGGATTGTGTGTTCTTCTTTAAATCGGTTTTCTCATTTAAACTTAAGAAAGGAGTCCGAAAATTTTCTGAAAATTAAAAAAAAAAAAACATCAGAAAAGTTGTAAAAATAATAAAGTTATTCAGAAGCAAGTTTGTCTACTTTGAATATAAATTCTTTTGTTAAAAGAAATCCATTTATTCAAATTTTATTTATGATAAAATATTCTGTGATAGAATTTGAATATTTGTGTCCTTCCAACTAAAGTGCCATATTGTAGACAAGTTTGGTCGATAATATTTAGTGTGTCCCCACTGAGTTATATTAAATGCTCTCAAATTTTTTTGCATGAAGATAGTTTAAATAAATTCTTTAATGTCATTCCTGTACATTTAGCATAAATATTTCTTTCTATGGTTTATTCTCTTATAAATAAAATATATAGTGTAAAATTATAGTTTTTGAAAATAATCATATTGAATTATTTAACTTCATCGCAAATTCATTAAAATGTAAATTTGATCAATGTGTGTTAATTAAGTAGAGCAATATAATTTTATATGACGAATAGTTTCACGAATTGGTACACATCCACTGATATATTTAATCAAAGTGTTTTCGCAAACGAATATATAAATCGTTATTCCACATCACGTTAACAACTTCGTAAAAATATCCAGTGTACCAAATTTTACACGTATCGTGATTGTTTTTTTCTTGTATGATACAAACGACTTATAGTCACGTGCTGTTGTTAATTTCTCATTTCCAACTTAACATTTCTCAGTTCTATCATGACATTTTTCAGTTCAAACTTGACATTTTTCATTTCCAAGTTGACATTTCTCAGTTCTAACTTGACATTTTTCATTTCCAAGTTGACATTTCTCAGTTCTAACTTGACATTTCTTACTTTCAAGTTTACATTTCTCATTTCCAACTTGATATTTCTTGCCTCTGAGTAGGAGATAAGAAATTTGGAAATGACAAATCTCAGCTTGAAATTAAAAAATGTCTTATTGGAACGGAGCAATGTCAACTTAGGTGTAAAACAAAACTGTCAAAATGAAAATGAGAGTTTTAGAAATAGAATATCGTACCAATCATTGTATATTGCCTTCGCATTTTGCGTGTATATTGATAGCTTTACATAGATTGCTACAAAAACATATGTTTATAATATTGTAAAATTATGAATTTTAACTTTTAACAGAACACTATTACGTTGATAATATCAAGTCAGATAGGCATATAAAATGTCTTTAAAGCGTTTTTATCATAACTGAAGTTTTGTATTCAGCTATATTTAGTAATGAATATATAAGTTTTGACTTATAATTAAATAACGTCCAAATAGTATAACGATCAAATAATATAACGTTCAAATGCACTTCATAATCTTTTGTTCGTCTTCACTGCTTACCTCATTCATATTTGCTGTTATTTTTCATATTGTCTTATCACATGGTTACAAATTTACCATGTATATAAAATGGGATTTGGTAAGATTGCAAATTATAATGTGACAAATATTCACCAGTAACGCGAAGGCATATCATTTGTACTGAAAACAATATTATGAATGCATTTATTTCGAACTTAAACAATTTACTAACATTTGATAGAAAATAAAAGAAGCACAAAAACAATTCTAACCTATGCCTTTAAATATAGAGACAGCTTACTACAATTATCAACATATTTCTTTGTGTCTGCCTGCATTGAAATTGAATGACGAGAACGACTTTTTTGTAAGATGTAAACACTTTTGAGTGAACTATTCTACAATCTATATACATGACAACCCGTTCATACTGAAAATGTATATATACAAATGATCTTTCGATGATGGCGTATATGGATATGAAACATCAACGCGTTTTTGAAAGGAATACGACAACGGGTGCTTTTAAAAGGGATGGAGCTGCTGACCTTAGCAGATTAACTGAGGTCACTTCTTATTTTTTCAAGGGTTTCGCTTTTGGTGATTTCAATATTTACATCAGGTAATAGTAGCGTACACAATCTAAACAACAGTACAGGTATGTGTAAAATAAAAACAAAAGAACGCCAAAGATTTATCAGAGTGCCATAGACACTGGCCACAATACCGACAAAAGAATAACAGCAATAACAAAAGGGAAACCGTCTGATTGATCCTCACAGAAAACGCAAAAATGAGTTTATCGACAAAAGATAAATATCAGTTTGAAAATAGTATAGTTTGAAACAATTACAATCAAAACCTATGTATCAATGTCCTCAAAATGTTCATTTGCTATTCAGAAGAACTTAAATACTTTCCGAGTTAAATTATAGCTGTTACACAAGTTTAAATAATTTCATTATATCAAAATTGTCTTTCTCATACAACTTTGTTAAACTCAAATGCAATCTTCGTACAAATACAGCTTCATTAGCTAATATATATCTTTTATTACAAACAACAGATCTCTAATAAAAGAATATGCTTCCAGGACAAAGAGATAGTGTACTAAATATTGCATACACCACTTTAATCAATTAGGAATTTTTACATTTGATGTGCTGGGAATCCTTGATTACTTTAAAAGCTGCGTGTATTGAATTAACTTACCTGTTTCCTGGAACTTGTTGCCGATCGAGTATGCGATGCGTCTCGATGTTGTCCCCCTCGTACTGAGGCTATAGTAGTTCCAAATAATATTCTTGCAATTAAGGCATACAGAACAGCAGCAATGCACAACGGAATTGCATAAAACACAATTAGATCCGCTAAATAGTAAACATTATAATGCTCTCTTTCTAGTCGGAAAGTGCAGATGCTTTTGTCTCCAGCCTTTCTAATAATTGTAAGACCTAGCCACGGAGAACAATATAAGATAGAAAATATCCAAATACCACAAATAATTTTCTTGGCCCTTCGTATAGTGCACATCCGTTGTGCCGTCATAGGATGGCATATTGCTATGTATCGTTCTATTGTAAACGCTGTTATGGACAGTGATGAGGCATCAACTCCTAGATATTGCAGAAAAACTAAGATAGAACACATTGCTCTTCCCCATGGCCATTGTTGCATCTCAAAGAATGGTTCGGGAATAGCAGGCAAAGTGGCGGAAAAAAGCACCAAAATATCCGCTACGGCTAAACTAATTAAATAACAATTGGTAGGAGAACGCATTTTTCGGCTTTTTGAAACAATTATCACTACCAGTATATTTCCGAAAAATCCAACGAGAAAAATAATAATTCCAAACAAAACGGAAATAATTTGATATATTTTTGGATAATACATTGAATTCGTTGTGCTTTCATTCTTAAGCACTGAAAGAACAATTGATTCATTTGTTTTTTCATTCATTTTCAAATGTCTGTAGACGATAGATTGAAACTAAGTCACTATTAAAGATAATTGCAGACTTTCATTCATGAGCATTAGGAATCATATAGTAGAACCATCCTTCGCTTTTTAGCCAATCAATACAGTTATACGTATCAATTGACAGTTGAAATAATAAATCATTGGTGACGTTTTATCGCCTTATATTATTGATAATAACATGTGTTGCTACAATTACACAGCGATTAAAACCTGCTTCCTGATCTTATTTAAAGCGGATCTTTCTCGTTGAGTTACATTAATTAATATGAACAATGAATATGTTGGAATTTTATATCATAAATTTGTAGAGAACAATGATGAAGTGTGAAACATAACTATTTCGGTACGATTCAACTAGATATAATATGCAACAGACTTCAAAGGGAATGGTTGTTGTTGCAAAGAAGCCCTCACCGATTTTTGGTTTTGATAAATTGGTAAAAATGTGAGATTTCATACACTGGCATGAAAATTCCTTGATTTCATATATTGAAACCTTTTCAACGTTTTTCTTAATTCATTGGCCATTTTCAGAAGAAAATTTAAAACAAAATTGCATACGAACTACGCTCAAAAGTATGTTTCACTGAGTATGCAAATGGTCAACAATTACACTAGTAGTTTCTGATAAAATGATATTACTCGACACAACCGAGTGTTTAAATGGACCATAGCCTGTATGATTCCTTTGTTTGTTTGCAAATTGTTTGCTAGCATAGATTATTTTAAAACTGAAACAAAATTGTCATTTTAAATTTTTACATATTTTCTAAAAAAAAAAAAAAAAGTTTTTTTTTTTTTTTCCATTCACGTTTATAAAAGAGAGGAGAAAGCGGAAAATAAAATGACAACACCATCGCTAAAAAACAAATAGACAAACAACAGTACAATAAACGCAACAAAGAATGATCAATACGAACCTCACCAAAAACTGAGGGTGATCTTAGGTGCTCCGGAAGGGTAAGAAGATCCTGCTCCACATGTGGCACCTGTCGTGTTACTCATGTTAGTTTAAACCCGATGTAGGTATAATTTGTAAGGTTACATTCGGGGAAAAGGGGACTGGATTGTCGGTACGACAATTGGAACATATCCGTTGTCATCTGTGAAACAGATATTCCATAACGGTCAACAAACTCGTGATGGCGTCCGTAAAATTTACGAAGGGGTAATTTCAACTTCGCTTCTTGGAAATCTTGGTTTAATAATAATCTCTTTTTGTTTTCAACCGACCCTCATTGTCAATTTCTAGATGGAAGTGACTAAGTCAAAAAAGAGTTACAAGACTGAGAAAAATATAATACAATGGTTAAAATTTGTATTCAGTAACCGAGTCTCTGTAAATATAAGTCATATAAACACAAAGATTTATTTTAATCAGGCTTAAATTTCAAATATAAATAATGTTCGTACTTTCGCTTAGTTTTCACATCAATAGAAGTGTATGTTCATGCCTTCTGACGTTATTTCGTTCTATGCATCCGTAACCTTTGTTTTGATCGTCTGCTGTACACCAGGAAGGCAAAATGTGTAAATGCCTTTTAAAATTACAGATCTTATTGTTTATCCTTAATTGTCGATATTTTATGAAAGTCCTTATGGCAGAATCATCAATAATTTGTTTGGGAATAAACGTGAAAATTTTATGATTTCCGCTTAAAACTGATTAACAAGTCATTAAAATATATAGGCAAATCAATACACAGAAGGTCTGTTTGGAATTTAGAAAATGATTAATATCTGAAATTATCGTGATTTTGTTTTTGTTGTTTTGTTTCAATTGGTTATTGTCTTTTTTTTTTTCTTTTTTTTTTTTTTTTTGCATTTTTTTTCTTTTTTGTAACGTTAAACAATCTGATTAAAATGCCCGTACAGATGACACTACATAAAGAAAATGTAGCAAAGTTGAATAAATCTTGATATCTCAATTTATAGTAATGCTTGAATTTGTTTTATTCATTTATCTTTTATAACATGGTTGGTTTTAATAATACATGGTGATTTTGTAATTGCTTTCAGAAAACTTCTTATCTTCAAATAGATGTGAACTGACTTTTATTCGAGCAAACTTTTTTACATTTATGGTGTACTTATTCTTGAGATAACTTCTCTTATGTGTGCCACATCATGTTCTTAATTTAGGCCAGTTTGTGTAATAAAAATTAAATAAGACACACACCACCCATTCTTGGCCCATTTTCTATATTATTTTTTTCAATTTCAAGAAATTATATGGGGCGCGGTCTATATACTGTCATTTACACATCATACAATACTGGTTACCGGAACTTTAGATATACGAAATCAGGTACATCATATCTGAGAAACAATTAATGCCCTTCCTTTTCAATTAATTCATATATATCTTTTTTTGTATTCAAAATTATCAGTCAAAAGGTGTTCTATAAAGATCACCTGTCCTTGACCTTTCATTTGATACCCAAATTACCTAAATACATCTTTCATAGATTGATATTTACACCTATGCGTAGAAACTATCTTGTTTCATATATATACTAGTTTTCAGTACGTTCATTTTGACCGTGTCCGATTTGGTAGTGTTACATCTAACAATGTATATTCGTATTATTTTGCCAAGAATTCCGCACAAACCGCTGCTAAGAGCTGACTTAAGCTTGAAGTGAGATGAGAGTTTTTGCACACCGTGTTGAAGGCCTCGCTGTGACTTTCAGATGAAGAATAGCAATAAAAGCGCTACTTCTTTTCTTTTTGTGTATGTTTTGCTGTACATGTACAAATTTTGTGTCATGGATGGATACCCGATATCCTTTGTTTTTCTTTTATTTCATAATATTCAGGTTAAAATTACATCTTCGTATTGATTCGTATGCAAACAAGGATCATTAGTTTAATGAATATATACAAAAGAATTAGTGTGGCTAATTTTTAAAACATAGATAGATACCGTAACATATGTTAAAGAACTAGATTTGTATGTCTTTTAACCCCTCGTATATTTGCTATCAGATCAAGAATTCCAAAAAAATCTATTGTCAATCTCATTAAAGATAGTTTGAACCTTTTAAAACTGATTAAAATAATGTTGATCAGTTGTAAAATAGATTAAACGTATAGTTTTCATTTCTTTTAAGGATAAAATGGTGAGGAGAAGTAAACATTTACTAACTAGAATCAACGGAAAAGTGTACTTTATTCATATATGTATTATATCTGAATATTTTCAAATTAACCGGTAAGCCGTCTTAGAAGTGTGAAAGTCAATTCATTAACTCATCAAAGGAGTCTTTTGATAGGTGTAGCCTCTTTTTCGAAATGTTAAACATATGACAGCGCCTGTATATAGGATACAGCATTATTCTTGGTGTATTGATAATAGCATAAACAGTAAACATTCAAAATTGATTGGCAAGACAAAATGTTTATACGTCTTTTGTAGGTAAAACGTGCGTCTGGCGTACACAATTTTAATCCTGGTATCTATGATGAGTTTATATACATACATTTGGAAAATTATAGTGACAAGGGCAATAAAGATGTAAAAAAAACTTTCTAACTTTAGCATACCCTGTTTGGACATAAATATTGGTCAATATGTTTATTATAATGAAAATTACACACTTAAATGTAAATTGATACTCTCATAATACAAGGGATTCTAGCACTCGATCTACGTCAATAAATTTATTAGATCAGATATACGCGGTATAAACTTAACAACAGTATGAATGTGCAAAATGTATATGCATACATGAAACATACAAATACAATCACGAAAGGCTTTCAAAAGCATCTGATTTGATAATAGAAATTCATTTTAAAATCAAGATATTTCCAATATCATTGATCTTTCACATTTTGGTTAGCAAATTAATTGTGAACATGCAATTTGAGATCAATTTAGTTCAACATATGATTTCTTATAAAACACAGAAAAATTATGCTGCGGTCAAAGTAGTAAAGTCTTTAGTTTTTATATAATTAATAATTTAGGCTTTGACAGTAAAATGTAAATAAAACTTAAGTATACTTCGACGATAAAGAAATTTGTAGTTGCACTCGGTATATAAAGAAACATTTCATTTGTATGCATGACTTCATGTCGGATCAGGAACTACTTACTCTTCTGGAACCCCTTCATCTTAGCGGTTATGGAACTGTTGATGTTCCATCTTTAGTTGCCTGTGTAGCGTTTTCTGAATGTTGTTAGTCTGCTCGTCGTTTTAGGTCATTTTGTTGTTTGTTTTTAATGTTTGTTTTTATTGGACATATGATTTTTGATTGCCCCCTTGGTAACTTTTCTGCCATTTTACTTATCTAATAAGTATAGGCAAAAATAAACGTTTAGACAATATATTGCGTTTTCGTGATACCATTAGCTAAAAGAACAAAAGTGATGAAAAATTTATGAGAAACTACTTCTAGCAAAAAATACTTTATATCTGACTGTAAAATCTATCAGGACATAATTCCGATTTAATTACATCAATCATTTATAACTAAGAATTTTGTTTAATTAAATCATGAGTCGTTGCATGTTCATGAAGTACTAATTTGATTGATGTTGGGTTTTATCATCCGGCTATCTTGATAGATATTGCGGACTACAATAACCTATTCTTGCAGTGTTCGATCTACTGTTCTTTTCTCGTTCATCTTGCTCCGATCTGGTGGTTGAGGTTGGTACGGAGTGTCTTGCCGTTCTTGTAAGGCAAAGGCAGTTTGAATGGCCTCTGGATCTGGCATGGACATTGGTGAGGTATGTGATGGTGTGCGAAGTAGGTCGGGGCCATCGATGTCAAAACCCTCTGTGAAGTATATCCTTCTACGCTTACTTCTAGGTTTGGATGGAGTATAGAAGTAAC